ATAATCCCACTAGCAGATTCAAGTTGTATTTGCACAAATGTTCACATGTCTGTTGAAATCCCCACTGCTGCTTACACTTACTGTACTTTATTTAAACAAAAGTGATGAATGAAATGACTCCTTATTTTACTCATTCAACTGTCAAAACATTGAATAGCTATTATACTCACTTGGAAAGATGTTTGCAATATGTTTGAAGGATACACTATTTTTTAAAAAAAAGTACATGTGTGTTGTGTATAAAGTATATACATATGTAGAAATAACCTAAGTTTGGAAGAACATGTACTACATAGTGACCTCTGTAGAATAGGTTTTTGGTGAGAAAGACATTTAGAATGTTCACTTCCTTAAATATGTAATTAAAAAAAAAAACAGGGATGTGTTTCTGATTTACATTTTTAAAAGTTTAACTACCACATGGAGAATGGGGTACAAGAGACAAGAATGAGAACAGGAAGAGCAAAAAGAGTCTCTCGATGAAAGATAATGCTGGTTTGTGCCAGAGTGAAATGCAAGTGAAAATGAAGACAAAGAATAGATTTAGGAGATGTTTTGCAATCAGAGACAAGAGGATCACTGATAGAAAGGGCATGGACAGAGAGGGAAGGAATGGAATAAAAGGATGAATCCTGGATTTTCACCTTGAGAAACTGAGTAATTGTGCTAATATTTATAGTATTCAGTCTGGTATTCCAGTTGACTGCAAAGTAACTGAGGTGGCTATAGCACACCAGCCATTCATCTATTGTTAACTATTGATGTTGTGCTTGCAACATTCCAAAAAGATATTTTAGGCACTGGAGATTGAGGAGTAACAAAATAGAGCCCCAATCTTGTAAAGTTGAGTGGGGGAGTGAGGGGATGTGAAATAAACAATATTTAATATGCCACATTATGTATTTTCTACAGTCACATTAAATGTTACTATATGGCCCCCTGAGGATTTTGGACTATGAATCTGAAATGATGCAAAACCAGCAAAGGGGCCTCCCCTGGTGGTGCAATGGTTGAGCACTGGGCTGTGAAGCTGCCCGTAGCCTCTGCAGTGCCGGTTCAGTCCCCGGCCACCGCGGGGGTCCCACATGGAGCGCAGGCCGTCTGCTGCTCCCCTCAGCAGTGTATTTCGTCGTTCTGCCTGTTCTGTTCCCCGCTCTGGCTCTGGTGAATTCCCTCACCCTCTCGTGCTTCTTACTGTACCCAGTGCTTGTATGTATAAATAAACAAATAAACAAATCAATCAATCAATCAATCTTAAAAAAAAAAAAAAAACAGCAAAGGATTTTTAACCAAAAATCCCTTGAAGTGATTTGAATTGAGTGATTTGAGAAGTGAATTATTTTTGGTGATGTTACTGGCATCCTGAGTCTTTGAGTCATTGAGTGAGTTACATGATTTCTGAGGCAGTCCATCTCTATAGTTCTGAGAGTGCAAGAGTTACTTTGTGGTACTGCTCATAATGTCTCATTTTTATTAATTAATTTAAACCTATTCACACATAGGCAGCAGCCTTTATTTATCAGCCCAAATGCCACTGCCACTTGCTTGTTTAATCTGTTCCCTAAGCATTCTGTAGAACCAGTTCTAACATCACTTTAAGTCATTCATGCTATATATCTATATTCCATGTTTACTTATTTTAATTCTAGAAGATTTAGAATATTAAGGGGAATGGGAAATCAGTAGGATCCTGTGAGATGTACTCCCTGCTTCTTTCAGACAGCAAGAAACTTGCAAAGGACAAGCCTTCAGTGGCAACTCTTTCTCATGGGCCTGCAGACACTTCGGATGCCTCCCCAACTCTCAGATGTCTTCCTAAACAAATGAATTGATTATCTTGGGGTATCAGGTGTGAGTATTCTCAGAAAATACGCCTCTCCCCTGCCTGGGTTTGAACCATAGTTGGAGTCTGTGGTAACCCCTTACATTTTGTCAGTAGGTGGGCTTTGGGATGGCTGGCTACCGGATATCCTGGTGAGTCTGTCAGTAGGTCTGGGAGACATGAATCTTGCTGCTTTTGTACATGTGTGAGTAAGGAAGTAATGCTCGAAGCGTTGGCAGTGCAGCTTGTGACCTTGAGGAGGAAGTCTGCAGAGTGAAGCTGACCCACAGCCCTGACTTTGTTGAGCTGCTGGGGACCAGTTCTGGAAAATTTTATCTCCAGATTTTTAGTTAGGTGTTTAAAAATAACCTTTTCTCTGTAACTTTTTAAATTTATTTTGTTTTGTTGTTGCTGCTGCTGTTGTTGCTCTGTGTGTATGTGTGTGTACAGAAGAAAATTATTCCTCTTACATGGGACAAACACCATTCTGATCTAATCCTGCTGGAAATCTTGCCCAAGCTGCAGTGTCTGATGACAGAAGTGAAAAAGTCACCAAAGCTCTTTGTGATTCCTCAAAAGAGCAAAACTATGTATTCAGACTTTGAGATTATGCTTTTATGCTCATTCAGGTTTATGACTATTGTTTTTTCTTGGATAATAATTTCTATTATTCTGTAATCTATCTATCTATTCAGAGTTTCTCTTTTCATTCAATTTTTCTTATACCAGTACAAATAGTTTTGGTAGTTTTCTTTTGATTTGTATTTTCATAGAATAAATTTAACATGTTATTATTTTTAGATTTTATTTATTTGTTTTTAGTGTGTTTCATGTAACAAACATAAAAACATATGTTTAAATTTTGTTTTTTTTCAATACAAATGAGTAGTGTGATGATTGATGGATGAGTTCATTTATATTCATTATGATTGTTGATTTATTTAGACATTTCTGCTATTTGGATTTGTGCTTTCTATTTCTGTTTTTCTTTTATAAAATATTTATTTATTTATACAGAACTGGGGTACAGGCCAGAGGTGTGGGGAGATGAGAGGATTCATCAGAGACAGAGTGGGGAACAGAACAGGCAGACTAACTGAAACACACTGCTGAGGGGAGCCGCAGGTGAGATAGGAGAGGTCGGCTGCGCCGTGTGGGTAGCTCCCTGGATGGGGATCGAACTTGTGCTGCAGTGGCTGCAGATAGCTTCATTGGTTGCGTCTTAACCCCTTGCACCACCAGGGAGGCCCTATTTATGTTTTACACCCTTGCTTTTCTTCCCTTTCTGCTTTATGTGATTATTGAATTTTGTTCACTTTCTTACACTGCTCATTTCAGACTTATACCTTATATTTCTATTTTTAGTAGTTATCTTTTAATTTTTACTACAACTATTTAACTATATTTTAATGAAAGATGAAATGATTTGATATCTGTATTTTTCCCTTGAGGATACCAGCTACAATAACTTTTTCACATTCTTCTCTCAGGTCTTTAATATGACTGTTAAAATGAGTTTTAGATCTATCTATTTGATTGTAACCGAATTTGGGCATTATACATATTATTGTTATATTTGTGGTAAATAGTTATGTAATTTAAAATGTTTATCACTGTTTGACTATCATTGACTCAACATCACACTCTTTGCTTTTAGTTTATTTTTCTTCTGGCTGGTTTATACTTTGTACTTCTTTCAGTGAGGGTCCATCTGCTGTAACTTTTTTTTTTTAATTTTTTTTTATAGAGGCATGTTTTATTTAATTATTATTTATTTGTTTTGTTTGTTTGTTTTGTTTGTACATGCACTGGGTACAGTCAGAAGCACGGGAGGGTGAGAGAATTCACCAGAGCTAGAGCAGGGAGCAGAACAGGCAGAAGGACCGAAGTACACTGCTGAGGGGAGCAGCGGGTGGCAGGAGAGGTCTGCGCGCCATGTGGGACCCTCCTCTGGTGGCCGGGGAGCAGCCGGGGATCGAACCGGTGCCACAGAGGCCGCGAGCAGCTTCGCAACCCAGCGCTCAACCGCTGCGCCACCGGGGAGGCCCTGCTGTAACTTTTGAACAACCAAAAATGGCTTTGTTTTGTTCTTACTCATGAAAAATAATTAAGTGAAGTATAAGATTATGGATCAACAAGTCCTGTCTTCTTTTTCCTTCACTTTCTCAGCACTGTAAAGATGTACTTCTTACTTCTGACCTCAGGAAGGGACCTGCTATCTCCATAATTTCTCTTTTTTCATATGGGTAATCACTCTTCTCTGCTAGGTTTTACCATTTTTGTTTTATCTTTAAGGTTCTACAGTTTCATCAAAGTCAGTTTAGTTGTAGATATTCTTAGCACAAAATGTTTTTCCTTACTTCTGTCAAATTCTAAGCCATATCCTTTGTCACTATCTCTTACCTCACTGCCACTTCCTCTAGCTTATACTTCTGGAATTCTCTCACCTAAAAGGTGAGACATGAAGTTCCTCAAGGCTATATTTTAGCTGCATCCTAATCTTTGTCCCTCTTCCTGGGACCTCCCTCTCTTTGCTTCCTTTGTTTAATACAGGTTTGCCTGGGAACAGCCCTTTCTATGGTATGTGCATAAGAATCAACTCTGTTTCCAAGATGTACTGTTTAAGTAACTCATTCATACACTGATGAACTAGTAGATCTTATTTCAATAGCTGTGATGCAACATCTACTGAACAAGGCTGTTCATTGAGGAAGTGAAGTGGACTCGCTATGGTCCGGCCACAGGGGACATCAGCCCATGGCTGCTCCTGGCTGTTCTCAGTGCATCCTTCCACCATCACTACTGAACATGGCGGTCTGCGGGACTTGGTTGGTCCCCTTCTGTTCCTGCAGATGACTGTTCTAGTCTCCTAGTCTGAAGTCTGGTTGACCTGCATCTATTCTGTCAGCCTTGGGAGTGGGGGTGGAGCGTGGGAGTCTGCTCTGCCTCCATCCTCTTTTCAGCCCCTTGTTCTGGCACAAATGCTTCTGCCCTCCTTCCTCTAAAGCCTTCTCTCTTTGCTTCTTAATAGCCTTTTCTTTCCTTAAAAACCTTCCTCTTGCATATCAAAAACTTTGGCTCTTAAAAGTATTGTTTCTGATCTGGGATCAAGAGCTTATTTTGGAAGTTAAAAAACTGAACACTGACTCTTTCTCTCTGCGTTTCAACTGTTCTTCAGGTTCTGTGGGAGCTGGACAAGAAGAGAAGAAAAGAAAAGCACAGACACTGTATCTCAAGATGCTTTCCTGCCACAGTATCTAAAATATATTGGCACATAGCCTGACATATAGTGATGGGAAATGCATGTTCTCTGTGTCCTTTATTTTTATAAATTGCTGTCTTAAACTTTTTAAGTGTACAGGTCAGTAAAGTACACTCATATATGTTTTGCAACCAAACTTCAGAACTTTGTCACCTTGCAACACTGAAACTCTGTGCCCATTGAAAAGAAACTCTCCATTTTTCTTCCTCCCAGCCCTTAGCAACTACCATCTACTTTCTGTTTCTGTGATTTCTACTATTCTAAGAATATCATATAAATGGAATCACATAGTATTTATACTTTTGTGAAAGGCTTAGCTAGTTTAATGTAATGTCCTCAGGGTTCATCTATGTCAAAGCACAGGTGAGAATTCCCTTTCTTTATAAACCTGACTAATAATCCATTGGATGTATATGCTACAATTTCCTTTACCCATTCATCTAAGGTGGATGGACGCTTGGCTTGCTGCTACCTTGGGCAAATATTTCTTCAAGACCTTGCTTTCTTTTTTTTTTTTTTTAAAGATTTATTTATTTATGCAATACAAGAGCTGGGGTATAGACCAGGGATGCGGGGGGTGAGAGGATTCACCAGAGACAGAGCAGGGAACAGAACAGGCAGATCGACCAAAGTACGCTGCTGAGGGGAGCAGCGGGAGAGACAGGAGAGGTCTGCTGCAACATGTGGCTTGCTCCCTGGCTGGCTGGGGATCTAACTCGTGCTGCAGTGGCTGTGGTTAGCTTCACAGGCTGCGTCTTAACCCCTTGCACCACCAGGGAGGACCCAAGACCTTGTTTTCAATTCTTTTGAATGTATCCTAGAACTAGAGTTGCTGGATCATACAGTAATTCTATTTTTAATTATTTGAAGAAAACTTATACTGTTTCCATAGCAGCTGAACAGTTTTATATTCCCATCAACAGTACACAAGGATTCCAATTTCTTCACATCTTTGCCAATGCTTGCTGTATTCTCTCCCCCGCCCCCTCTCTCCATTCTAAGGATGAGAGGAGATATTTCATTGTATTTCATTGTGGTTTTGATTTTAATTTCATTTAATTTCCCTAATGATATGATGTTGATAATTTTTTTTTTGTATTTTATACAAAAGATACTTTTGCCACTTACATTTTGCAAATCTCATCTGTTCATTTCAGAGGAAATACTCAAACATGTAGGTGTTCAGGAAACTTTGCTAAGGAGTCCTCTAGTCACTTTGAATCCTCCACTGGCCTCTAGAATTTAGTCCTCGTCTAACTCTAACTTCGGCTACTTTCTCTGCTCAGGACTTACCATGTACATCATTCTGTTTTTCTGACCTTCCATGTTAAGAGAGTCAGAGACCAAGAGCTTGTTTTAGACTGAAAAGCCAGGCTCTGTTTGACAGTAGGTAAAACTTAGTAGGCAATATGGTTGTTTCATGAAAGAAAGGGTGAGGAGTTGGTCTGGGAACATGGGAAAACCTGAAGCATCAAGCAAGCATCAAGTCCAGAAAAAAATTAGGAAGCAAAAGTTGGATCTAAAGCAATTCACAATCTTGAATCAGTAAGGCAGTCAGAGAGCTTGGGAGGCAGAGTTCAGTAGTGCCTGTTCATGGAGATCTGTATGGGTACTGAGTAGTGCTGCCTCTGCTTGCTTGGTCTGGGGTTCACATGAGGCCCTATGATCTGTGTGTGTGTGGGGAAAGTCTGCCTGTGCTTAACCTGCACCCATCATGGCCATTTGTATATGAACCCTGGCTCTACCTTCCACCCTACTGCAGAATTCCATGGAAGGATTTTGATGAGTGAGAAGAGGTGGCCAGTAGGAAAGTAGGCATGGCATGAATTGGGTCTACTTTGAGAAGTGTTTTCAAACCAGAATATAAATGGCTTTCATGTTGATGCAAATATAAATGAATCATGTGATAGCTATTACAGTTTTGAGTATTTTGGGATGCAATACATATTTTGCAATCTGGATGTTATAAGGTATAAGTGATTTGCTTTATTCCTTACTTACTTTGAATTCATGTTAGTACTTGCTTATAAATGTTACTCCTTTCCTCCCTGGGAACATGGATAACTTTTTTTTAATTGGATGTGTTTCTTTTCTTACATTGTTGTTCGTTTTTTGTACAGTATCTGATTTCTCCCCTCAGGTGTAGTCCCTGTAGTTCTTCCACCACCATAGCACCCGTGATCCATCACCACAGTCCCTCATGCTCTTCTTCCCTTATTCTGACCCCTCTCCTTCACCCTCCCCCCATAGGCCTCAGATCTATGGTCAGCTTGCAAGTTTTGTTTCCTTTCCTGACTTATTGTTTGGTTTCTCTATATTCCACATGTAAGTGAAACCATCTGATATTTCTCTTTTTTTTCCCTTCTGACTTACTTCCCTTCGCATAATCGCTTCCAATTCTGTCAAGGGACACGGACAATTTTTACATAATGGAATCTGAGAGATGCAAAGGGTTGATGTGATTACTTTTTGGATATCTGCGGTTTTGGGTCATAGCTTTCATGCAAAAACCCCTGTTTAGTGAAGCACAGTTTCTTTTCTGGAACCTTTTCAAGAGGCTTTTGAGTCTAATACATTACATCTACAACATTGCATCTAAATGGTATATAGATTTTTTAAGGCACTAAATTTATTTCTATAATAATTAAGTTCTTTGGGGTTTTATTTAATTTTATTTAGTTTCTGCTTTTGAATGGATCCTGCTTATGCATCTCTGAGCCTGTAGTTAAAGTAAGAATGAATATAGTTACTTATCATTGGAGGTATTACTCTGTATTTAGACAATTCTTTTAGAGATCTTAATAATCAGCATAGGAAATAGTGCCACTCTGGTCAGGCTGAAATCAAGACAAAAATTTGGTACAATCTATTCGTGCTTACTTCCCAACCCAATCCCAGCAAGAATTTGATGATTTGCTGTTAAATCATCAAAACTATAGTATTACCCGCTGGCTGGTGTGGTATAAATTGAGCACTATGAAGTATGGCAACTGGCAATGTTAGTCTGCGAAGGGCCACTTTTGGAAAGCAATATGACAAAAACAAACAAACAAACAAACAAATAAACAACAGTGATATGGTATGTGGAAAATACACACAAGGAAAAAAGATTATTACCCAGTGTAGAGGCACAGTTTGCTCCTGAAAATCATTCTACACAGCAAACACTACAACACTTCCAAAAAGGAATTTTTGGTGGTCTGACCCTGCAGATGCCTTGTGTGACCATGCAGCAAGATACAACTTCAGTACGCACTTCTACTAAAGCTGAGCTTCCTCTTGTGTAAAAGGAAGATGATAATACCTAAATTAGAAAAATCATTGTTAAGATTAAATAAGAATAATAATAACTGCAGAGAATATAAATTAGCTAATGTAAAAGAATTAAAAGATTTGCATATACAATGATACATATTTTACCATCATTCATAATTAAAAAATCTGTAAGTCACTGAAATGTCCACCTATAAGAGAAACAGTATATTACTGAATAACACTTTGGTGAATTTTTTTTAGCCATTAATAAAAATTATGTAGCAAAATAAAATGAAGAGAAATTTCTAAATAACAAATTCAAAAGTAAGAAAGAGTATTTATTTATAGCGTTCTTAAAACATATAAAATGAAACTATGAACAAACTAAGGAAGAGAGTTCTCACAAAGATAATAGGTGGTTGAATTATAATTGTTTCCTATTAGTTTTTTCTATATAACATTATTGCATTGCATTCATAATTAAAACATGGTAGCATTATTAATTACTTTTTTCCTATTTATGGTAAAATAGTTACATAGAGAATGCAGAAAATCATTAATAATAAAGTAAAATTAAAAATACCCTTACATTTATTGTTAATATTTTAATTTTTATTGTTCCATACTTTTTGAAAATTAACATTGTTTTACTTGCAAATTTTCCCTTAGTATGCTCCTCAGGGTGTTGCTTTTACAATGCTTCTTTATCTCTGATTTTTTCATGCAAATCTCTTCTTCCTTTTCTAGAAGTTATAAATTCCTGTCCTGTTGAGAATACCAAAAAGTCTTGTTTAGAAATGTTTTAGAGTTTGCTGTGAAAAATAATTTTCAGAGGTGTCCTGTGCCCCTACACTGGGTAAAAACCTTTTTCCTTGTGATACTGTGTGTTGTTTTCAAATTTAGACTCTTTGTCCCATGCACTTGCCCTTGAGTGCATGAAGCGCTCTCGAGGTGGAAAGCAGCAGGGGAGGCAGTGCGCTCACTTTCCTTTCCTATTTAGCAAGCATTTACCTCATTCTCTTCTGCATTCAACAGGAAGATTCACCCCTTCTTGGCCCAGTCTTCTCAGACTTAGGAAACTTTTGTATTTTATGTAAATGGAGGCTCTATTGACACATAGATACTTGTAAAACTCTCAGTCCAGGGTGCCTACTCCCTGGAAACTCTTCCTGTCTTGCCTCCACTCCCCTCCCTCACTCCCCTGTAGATAGTGCTTTACATGAAAGCAAGTGCTACCTGCAGATAAAATTTATTCTCTTCTGTTTCTTGCTTGGGCATAGGACAGAGAAGGGAAGAGCCCTTTAACAGTATAGGTTTTTGTATCCATCTGTCATTCGCATCGCCTGACAATCAGTGTAGGACTGCTAAGCACCAGGAACTAGAACACACAGGAAGCTTGCCCAGAAACGGAGCAGTTGAGGATGACTGCTTCAGTTACCTGAACTCTGCACTGAAAGTTTCATCTGGAGTGCAGTATTGTTTTGGTAATTTAGAGAACTCTTCCCACTCCCCCAACTTCAGCTCTGTTATCCTATTCTAATTTAGTAGAAAATAATTTTAGAATAAGAAATAATTAAGGAGGGATAAACTATCCAAGTAAACTTGCCAAACTTGCATATGAATTGCTTATTATTTACTTTATATGAGGAAATTACTACCTTCTAGCATAGTTTTATGTTATGAAATTATGCTCTATAAACATAAAAAAATAAGGCAGTAATTTCATTGC